AATAATTTTTGTTGCTCTCTTCTGGACTCGTTCCAATTTATCTACATCTTTCTTGAAGTGAGGTGCCCCAAACTGGACCCAGTAGTCTAAGTGAACCCACACTAGGGCTGAATACAATGGAAAAATCACTTCCCTTGACTTACAGGGAACACTGTTATAAATTCAATGCAGCATGCTAATGGCTTTTTTTTTTTTTTTTTTTTTGCAACAAGAGCATGCTTTTGATTCATATATGACTTGCTGTCCAACATAACATGCGACAACATTACGACTGGCAAGGCAATGGTATGCAACTACAAGCATTTTGCTCCAGCAGTTGAAATGTAGTATTTCTTTTTGAATTACTATGGAAAGAATATAAATGTGTTACAGATTATGTAAAATTTAGATGCAAAAGAAACAGGATATATATCTCACAGGAGGAATGAAAGCACTGGATATTACGATGCATATAACAACTCAGATACGGTACATTAAAAAGCATAAATTAAATGATACAAGAAAACCTGAACTGGCCTAGAAAAAAGTACCATACTGAATGTTACTGTATCTCACCTTTAACTTCTGTACTTGTTTTCTCTTAAGTATTATATGGTAGTTTAAAAATAAACCCAAAAACAACTCACAGACCACCAACTGGTGTCACTTTTAAAGATTATTTCAAATAGTGTGTCATTCTGCACGTGATAGTTTATATTCTAAACCCCAATACTTTTTAAGAGAAAGGATACTTCACCCTGTGGTGGTCGCTCTGCCAACTGAAGAAAAAAACTTGACTTATCTTCAAATCTGATTTCTTTTTGAATTTACAACTTTTAAATAGGTAGACAATTTCCTGACACAGCCTAGCAAAACGTTTAAAATTATATTGTGGCTCTTAAGGCTACCTCATGCCATCATAAATACACAGGGCCAGATTTCCAAGATATTTAGGTGCCTACCTGAATTACAAGTATAATACCTTTTAAGAATGTGGCTGTTCGCTAGTAGTGCAGCCACACTGCCTTTTGTTTTGAGCACATAAAACTGGATCTAAACAGCATGTATTTGAAAAGCATGGACAACTGACTGAAAAGGGCAGGGTTCTATTAATATGGAATGTACTATGAGCTATTGCACATTATTTCATGTTTTGCTATTTAAGGTAATCATGACACTGAAAACTGATGTGCATTTACTTAATAGATTCATAGGCCCAATTATACAGAATAAATGTTAAGACTGCAAATGCTTTTTTAGCAGATGCTGCAGAAGCATCAGCTCTTAAACCAGTGTTTCTCAATCAGAGTGCCTTATGGTCCTTTCAAGGGTGCCACAGGGTGCTATACACTTCTAGGTACGTAAATATGAATCACAAAATGAACCCAGAGATTTAAAATAAAAATCCATATTGCTAAAAACATTCTGACTGACTGTGGTCTTTCTGAGTTCTTTGCAACAAAAAACCTTGTTTTCTGTAGTAAAAAACAAAATAGCATTAAAACGAAGAGGTGGCAATTTCCAAGAGGTACCTCGAGTCTATCAAGGGATGTCTCACATCTAAAAAGGCTAAGAACCACAAAAGCCTTACTTAATGTGACACCCAAATAGCTTACCCTGCATAGCATCCATCCTTCTTCCTACAGCTTGTTTCAGCATGGCCCTTTTACAACAGTTAGTGTGTTGTATAGACAATACAGACTAATACACGTATATTTAAATCCCACACAAATCAACTAAAGACATCCAGAACTGCAGACAAATTATTTTGAAAATAAACAGAACTTCAAGCCATAAACTCCAAACTAAACATATATTTTAATCTCTATTAATGTCCCTAAACAACAAAGCAGCTTCAACCTTGAACATCTGAGATGTTTACATTTTTAAATTATAAATATTTCAGACTGTAAATGTGTGGAAGCAAGACCTAAATACAAATCCTTGCTGTTGCAAAACAGTCTATCAGAGGCGAAAGAGCAGCTCATGGTTGCTTTTAAGGTAATTAAACCTGCCAGGATGTTTTCAAAAGGTCTGTCACTCAGATACCACTATAAAAGAGAATCTGAACTGGAGGCAATATCAGTAGGAATGCTGAGGAAGAAAAAAGCCTTGGGCAAGGTGTTTGGGGGTATTAATTCAATAGCATGATTAGCATCCTTCAAAGATGAAGACAGACTGCTCATGGACCTCCTGTGCACAGTGATAGTCTATGAACAAAGCCAGCACACAGAGGGAATAACTGCCAATGTTCTCTATTTAATTAACCGTCAGAAAGCAATACTGATCCAATAAAGCAGCCAGCCTCTGTAAGCAGTTGTGAATGGAAGCCAAACAGACAATTTCAATGCAGCTTGAAAAATTTGGCAAATTCAGTTTGAGCAAAGGCAGTTGATGCCACTGATGCTAAAATTAAAAGTAAGCTACACATTCATATTCAGTTGAAAATGGAACATAAATCCATTAACTTGATTGAACTACAGAAACTTTATTGACCTTTTCATGCTGTTATATCATAAATCATAGAAAAAAGACCTGGAAGGGACCTCTGGAAGTCATCTAGTCCAACACCCTGTCTGAGGCAGGATCATCTGCATTCAAACCATCCTATAAAAATCCTTTGTCTCATTGGCAATCCCTCACAGTCAAGGATGATTGTCTTCCAAGATTGCTTTATCTGTGCGTATGAAGATGGCTGACAAGATCAATCCAGGATTGACTGGTTCTACTGTAACTTGGGCATGTGTTTCCATGTGGGGTAGGTGGTCTGGATTTTTGGTTTGGTCCACGACATGCTGTTTCTGCTGCTCCAGCTTTCCATCTCCTGTTAATATCATAAGGTTTCAAAGTACTGAGATCCTTGCAGCAGACACTTCCTTCATTTGGGGCAGTCTTGGACAATAGTGTCCCATGAGTTGATGTCAATGTTGCATTTTTCTAAGTTGGCCTTGAGGATGTCCTTGAATCGCTTTTTCTGCTGTCCCCTTGAGTGTGCACCTTGACTGAGCTGGCAGAATAAAACTTGCTTTGGGATTCTGGATTCAGACCTCTGGATGATGTGGCCAGCCCAGTGAAGTTGATGTCAGATGATCATTGCCTTGATGCTCATGTTGTTTGCTTGTGAGAGGGAACTAACATTGGAGTGTCTGCCTTCCCACTGAATTCAAACAATCTTTTGCAGGCAGTGCTGATGGTACTTCACCAGCGATTTGAGGTGTCTCCTGTATGTTGTCCATGTCTGATCTCCATACGGTAAGGTAGGGATCACAATTGCTTGATAAACCATAAGCTTGATTTCAGATTTGATGTCATGATCTTCGAACACCCATTTCCCTCAGGCGTTTGAAGACTGCAGTTGCACACTTGAGGCAGTGCTGGATTTTTTCATTGACGTCAGCCTTCTGCAAGAGAGGGCTTCTGAGGTACAGGAAATACTCAGTGTTCTCCAAAAGTCTGACCATGAATTTGAATTACCAGAGCTGGGGACTGCTTATTAAGAGCTTCTTGATGGAGGACCTTAGTCATCTGAATGTTAAGTTTCAGTCCCATTTTCTTGTATGCCGTGGTAAAGAGGTCAAAAATTGCTTGAAGATCTGTTTCCAAGTAAACACACAGCATCATCCAAGTGAGCTCACAGCATCTATGATACTGTAGGTTGATGACTGAAGTTGGGTGGTCTTGGTTTTGGCTTGGAGTCAGCTGAGATGAAACAGCTTACCATCCATTTGGTGGTTTAGCTGCACTCCAAGTGGAAGCCTGTTGGTGGTCAGCTGTAGCATTGTGGAAAGAAATATCAAGAAGAGTGTTGGAGGAATGATACAGCCTTGTTTAAACTCCTGTCTTACCTTTAAAGGGATCTGGGATAGAACCGTTACTGAGAATCACTACTTGCATACTGTCATAGAGTGGGTGAAGAATGGTGATGAATTTCAGTGGGCAACCATATCTCAGAAGGATCCTCCACAGAGCTTCTTGGTTGACAGTGTCAAAGGTTTTCATGAGGTCAAAGAAGGCCATGTAGAGAGGTTTATGTTGTTCCTGGCATTTTTCCTGAAGCTGGCGAGCAGTGAAGATCATATCGGTTGAGTCTCTTGATGCCCTCAACCCATACTGAGATTCTGGGTGGAGCTCTTCAGCAGGTGGAAGAAGACCATTCAAGAGGGTTCTCACAATGATCTTTTCTGTGGTGGACAGCAAGGCGATCCCTCTGTAATTTCTACAGTAAGACCTATCTCCTTTCTTGAAGATTGTCACAATCGTGGTAACCCTGGGGTCATCTGGGATTTCATCATCATTTTACACAGTCAACCCTGACAAAGCCACAAGACACAACACCTCAATCTGCCACTTCTCCATATCCACTTTAAAATGTGGAGCCCAAAACTGCACATAAAACTCTAGATAAGGCCTAACCAGTGCTAAGTAGAGAGGCACAATCTTCTCCTGTGCTTCTACTGATACACCCCAAAAGCACATTTGCTTTTTGACTTGTGCATTAGCATTAGCAACTCAAATCAAATGGTTTAGAACAGAGGTTGGGAACTTTTTAAGGCTGAGGGCTAGACTGACCCAGGTTGGGTAAGAGGTGGTGGAAAGGAAAGTGCTAGGACTCAGCTGCCACCACTACTGCTTTTCCCCACTGAAACACAGGGAGAGAAACTGCTGCCAAATGTCCCTGAACTCCATGTTTACAGGCCAGATCAAGTGCCTCGGGCTAGATCCAACCTGCAGGCCATAGGTGGCTGACCCCTGGTTTAGAAGGTCAGAGAGCTCATCAATACAGAAGGCACACATCGTATACATTCCAGAAAGTGTTAGTATATTATTACTTTTTACACAAGAAGGAAGGCTGTAGAAACCTGATAAAGAAAGGGATTCGTAAAAAACTACAAATCTTTCCCATGGAATTCAGAGCTCACTGTTTGGTTTCTGACTTGTGGTTCCAATGCAATTATATAGTAATAAACTATAGAATACACAATGCACATATGTGATTTCTTTCCCCTTCTGGAATTACTCACGTGTAAACTTTCAAAACAAAATCCTTTTCTTCTTTCAGTTCAGAGATGGACTGAAGTACATCCATGATGCTCAATACTGCACAGCCATAGGGGCGACGGTAATGGAGATGTGGGGGACCCTTTTTCGAATCATTTAGCAGCATGCGACCTTAAACAGATAACAGTAGTTAGAAAGTCAAGTTTAGTCATTCCCTCTACTGTCTTTCTGTTGTCTTTGTGTGTGTGTCTATGTATACATTTATAAAATACAAACCATTGCGAACATGTTTCCATATATTTCCAATTTCCTCCTCTCATATTATATTATATATCATTTCATATAAAAGAATGTATATTAAATGTATTATGGTGCCAATGGTTGTCAGTTTTCTTTCTAACACATGAGGGAACATTTTGGAAAAGGAAACTATTTCAACTGAATACTTTTCAAATATTTGTGTCATTTTTTTAATGAACTAATAGTTTTCAAGATCAGAATACACTATTATGATCTGGTCTGATTTCTTACATAACTCAAGCCACAATATTTCTTCCTGTAATTTTTTAAAAGAAGTTTAATAAATTGAGGTTTAACTAAAGCATACCTTGGAGCAATATTTATAAGCCTGATTTAGAGGGAACATTTTTATACAAGTGTATGGCACTGGATTCAGATAATGAAGAACTGATCCTTAAAATGCTCTTGCAAATTTAAGGATTTTTATTATTACTCAGAAAAACATAACAAATCTATGGCTTCATTTACATTGTATGAGCATTAAGAATAATATCTGTTACTGATACCCAGTGTCACTAAAAGTTGTGTCAAACACAATTTAACTGCACATATACTCCAACAAGCACTATTCATCCATGTTTCAGAAATGGTGGTTAGGCCTCAAAGTGACTGAACAACTCAAAACTTGGAAACATTGAAAAGTATTGTGCTGCTCACTATTACATAAAATTCTTGTACCTGAAAGAACTCAGCAGATAGCCTATTATTCTGATTAACTGATTGTCCCAGTGAGAGTTGAGTTTAAAAAAAATCTGAAAAAAATCTTGCAATAAAATATTATATTCTGCATAAATACAAGAAATACTACTTTAGCAACTTCTTAAATAAAAGATCAAAACTTATAATGAACTACCTCCTAACTTCTTGATGCTGGTTAAATGCATCCCTGCTATGAGATACTGTGTGTACAGATATTTGGGAAGGTTAGGAGGAGGTTAGATTGGGTTAAAAATGGCCTCCTGATCTAAGGTAAGTTGGGGTGGGAGAGGCTAGGGGGTAGGCTTGCATGGGGGGGGCAAGTAGGTCCATGGGGGAGAGGGTCAGGAAAGCAGGTGAGGTGTGCAAGGAGGAATGGGGTGGAGGGAGCAAGCTGGGTCTGCAGGGGATCAAGCAGTGTCCATGGGTGGATCAGGAGGGCAGGCAGAGTCCGTGAGGGTTTGGTGGGTCTGGGAGAGTTTGGTGGGAACAGAGGGGGCTCACAAAGTCCATGGAGCTCTCTCTCCCCAGGACCTGGGGCTGTGTTTAGCCTCCCAACCCCCACAACCCCAGACAAACAACCTCCACTGGATAAACCAACCTCCACCTTTGTGCCCACTCCTCCCCCTCCCCCAACTTATTTCCTTGGCTCCTGACACAGGTGAATGCTGGTAAAATTGGCTCCAGAAGCAGCTTGCAGGATGGGGGGGGGGTATGGTGAGCTTGATGGTGGGGAGGTGCTGGCTGATCTGCAGGGGCAGGCATTATCTGTTTGGTAGGGCGGTGCGAAGCTTTGGGTGGTGATTTGATTCAGAGGAGATTCAGCCTGATTCGGTGGCTGAATCTCCAAATCAGAATTGAATCAGGGGACCAATTAAAAGGTCCGAATCTATTCAAAGCTCTCCAAATCTTCAGAAAAGATTCAGAGAGCTTTGATGATTCAGGCAGTCCCCAGTGGCTGCAGCAGGGAGCTGCAGCCAACTCTGAGTTGATAAGTACCAGGGTGGGGGCAAGGGGATGAAGGGGGAAGGGGACCCTGCCAACCCCCAGCCCCTGCCTGCTCCCACCTTTTTTCTTCCCCAAGTGTGGAAGCTGGTGTGGGCAGGGCATCCATTGCTGGGCTGCAGGAGATGGGCCTGGCTGATTCAGCGATTCAGGATCAGATTTGGCCAAACAGATTTGGGACAATGATTCAAATCACCAGATTGAATCACTGACCCCTGGATCATGTGAATTTGAATCCGAAGTGAATACTAGATGCTTTGCACAGGCCTACTCTTTGGGGATGGGGGTGGAGGAGCCTGGATGCCAAAAATAGCCTGGTGCCAGGGGAAAAAAGTGCAGTCCTGGAGGTGGGGCTGGCACCTGAGCTTTTCCAGCCCTGGGGCTGTGTTGGGAACTGTAGAGAAAGAGGACAGTTAGATCAGTCTAAAAATGAACAACCCAATCTAAGTTAGGTGTACCTGGACGGTATAGCTCACCCTTATCTTGACCTAACTAGTGTAAGGTCCACACCTGGGGAAACTAACTTAATCAGGTGGCCATTTTTAATGTTATCTAACATCCCCCTAACTTCCCTGAATGTTTGTACATAGCCTGTAAGTTGAAAAGCAGCAGTAAATTGCCTGTTGTTGGGTAAGCAGTGGAAAAAGAGGTGTTTCCATTTATTCAGCAAATTATTTAGAAATTTGTACATGACTAGGTACACTGACATCTTCTTCAGCAAACTGACTTTATTTCCATACCCTGTCTTTTATTCAAAGTTAAAAAGGCTGCATGAGAACCCTAATATCTTTTATTTCAAACAGAGTATTACCCAATTCTCCTGCTTGAGATCAAGAAAAATCTCTGGTTAACAATTACTAAGTTGTATTAATATCCGTTTCCATTACTATATTTGAATCTGTCTCAACCAAAAGTCAGGGTCCATGACTAAGCTTCTTAACTGGTTAAACTCATCGTATTGTTAATTCAGTCCAAGCAATGTTTAAAAAATAACAACTTTAAATTCATTTTGAGGTAATATTTAAAAATGTACTTAATAAAGCATACCATACCTATTCGAATTACATGGGCAACTATGTACAAGTCTCTCTTCATGTCCTTGCTGCTGAGATCCTAACAGATTGGGAAAGACATAGATGTTAAAAAAAAGAAAAGTAACACTTTAAAAACAAAGTGAGTTTGTAAAACTCCTCCCACACCCAAACCAAAATCCACAAGCAAAGATCAGTAATACATACCAATACTTTTCATCTTTAAATATGGTCCAAATAGGTGGAAGGCTATTATAATTTTCATTTACATATTAGGAAAGAGAGAGGCTCTCACTATGGACAACCATTCATTTGCTGTGGCACTTGGTAGTGCTACCAAAATCCAGTGCCATGGGGGCATATAGGTGTTCCAGCCCCCTGGCTGGAGAGCCCTCCAGTCAGGAAGCAATATGGAGCTGCTGCTTAGGTTCCTCCAAGGAAGCCTGTGAGCAAGCCCAATCACTGTCAGCCTGCCCTCTCCAGCAAGTTATCAGTAATCAGCAGCTCTCCTATATTCCTGTGGAAGCTGTGGGAGCTCTTTCTACTGCCACTGCCTTACAGGGGCTTTCTAGACTGTTCCTGTGGCAGCAATCTACCCACTCCTCCAACAATCAAGGCTTCTACTGCTCTCTCTCCCTCTCCCCTTGGAAGTTGCGGGGTGGGTGAAAAATAAAGCGCAGAGCACCATGACTTCTGCAGGACTACAAGTAATTAAACATTACAAGTGGCTCTACAAAATGAAGCACTAGTTCTGGTTTCAAACAGATACTTTTCTGTAGTGCTTGGGTCATGGAGTGCTACAGATGCATACTGGTATGCTCACATTTTGTAGTGCTACAAGGGCTTTTGTAGGGTTTCAAGTCTTACAGCTGTCCATACCCTTTGTTTTGGGTAGGGAAGCGCTATAGGAGATTAAATCAAAGATCTACAGCACTCTACAATATAAAAAAAACGCACAGCTCTGTGCAGACTCAGTAGTGTAACTGAGGGGAGGGCAACCAGAACACTAGCCAGGGGTACTACTTTTGTTGGTGTGGGGAGCATACAGAAATAGGTGCCACTGATGGCAACACTGCCGTTGGTACTGAGGCAGCTAGCACTGCCCCATGCCTTGCACCTGTCCCCACTACACCTCCGCATACACAGCATGTCCTAAGAGCTTACAGTCTAAGTGAGTTTGCAACCTAAAACTTCACTCCCTCGTTTCACTGGATGGAAAGGCAGGAGACATGTATCTAGCACTTTTCTAGATACTAGGTGCATCTACACAGGATGCTTTACTGAGCAGTAGCACAGTTTACTGCACAGTAAGCATGTGCCTACAGGTGTACACACTTATTGCACAGTAAACCTTGCTAATCGTGAGAAAATTTGCTACCTGCACATGCAAGTAGCAATTTACCTGCAATAGTTACTGTGCAGTAGCGCTCATGTGGATGCCTGATTGGTCACCAGGGAGTGGGAGATTGCTCCCTGCCCCCAGGAGTTGCCTGCTGCCAAGGCAGGCTCCACCACGAGAGCCGAGGTGGAGACTATGTCCCCCTACCTTGGGAGCAGGGAACTCCAAGCCCTCCGCTTCGAGACTGCTATCGTGATCGGAGAGCTGGGGGCTGGAAGATCCTTAACTCCCAGTGCCAGCTCTGCGATCACAGGGCCAGCATTGGAAGATCCTTATCTTCCAGCACCAGCTGTGTGACCACAGATTTCCCATTGAGAGATAAGGATCTCCGACTGCAGAGCCGGCGCTGGGAGCTCCATGCTGGCAGGGGCTGGGGAGGTTTTCCCCCCCACTCAGCTCCAGGATTGCAGAGCTGGGTGGCGAACAGGCTGGAGAGCCTGTTCTCTGCTTAGCTCCGTGAGTGCAGTGGATAAAATCTCAAGTTTAAGGTAAAAAGAAATAATAGTGACCCCCTCCCCCAGACACTTAGACCTTCTGATTATCTGTGTTCATTTTCCACAATCAAATATTTAAAATTCAGTTCTATCTTAAGTGAATAATGTATGCAGAGTGTCTCAAAAATGAATATTTACTTCAGTTTCAGGAGTACAGACATACTGATAAAACCACAGCCAACTCTCATCCCTGTATGGGTTTGCTGATTTATTGTTCGTAACTATAAGGAGTCAATGATGGACTTTTGGAACACAAACAAGAGTGTACATTGCAAGTTATGCTCTTGCTTTCTAAGGAAACAAGAAGCATCTCTGGCAATCAATAAGTCTTTGTCTCCCTGACAACTGAGATGTGCATACTTTTTTGTGAGACACCCTGTATATTCAACTTGGCTACTTTTCACCTCCAGAGCAGCATGACAGGGGAAAGCTTTTAAAATCTCGCTGGCCATGTCCACATGAGTGTAGACACTTGGTTCTCTGGGGATAATTAGCAGCGGGACACCTTGTTCTGCTGCTAGTTCTCCCCAGGGAATGACTGTGCCACGCGCCTTCTGGTGCATGGCAGGTTACCCTGGGTGGGGTCGGGGAGGCTGTGGTCAGCACTGGGCTGGCTCCAGAAGCCTTACCTGGGGTCCTGGGGGCCTTCTGGGGCTGCAGCAGTGGCAATCTTGCAACTTGGAGACTGGCCAGCAGCCAGAGTGTGACTCCAGTCAGCCAGGCTCTGGTTTTGAGTGGTGCAGGCTGCTCCCCTGTGTGCTGGTCTGCTTCTTTTTCTTTGTGCAGGTTTTTTTTACCCCTGGATATCCAGGGGTCAAAAAACCCCCTATGCTGCTCCCTTACAGTATGGAGAACAGCTTAACATGCAGTACGTGGCACCACAGATGTGACTGCATTGCCACATACTGCACAGCTGTGCTTGTCTGGATGCAGCCTCTAGCTGCAGCCCAGAGAAGCAAACGGAAAGTACAAAAGGGAGAGCGACTCTTTAAAATGGCACCAAGTAGCTGAAACGAAGTGTCAACATTCATCTCCACTGAATTCAGTTTTTCAAAAACATTTCATTATTTTGACAAATCTTTTTGAAAAACAAGGAGACATAGAAAGATTTGTTACTGACTGTTCTTTAACTGCATCACTTCACACATGAATGTTAGATGTTACATACTTAACTTTAAACAAATCTTACTATTTTTGCTGGTTTCAAATAACCCTGTTCTAATGACGTTTTCATATGAATAATTGGTATACTTTTCCCCCTGGCTTATCCTTGAGGAAACACAGGATGATAAAGAAGCCAGTTGTAGGAAACAGAATATGCAATTCAAATTCTGTGTTCATGAATGCAAGAAATCAGTGACATTGCAAGGGCGTAAAAGACTGCAACTTCACTTTGTATACACAGTCTGACATTCACAATTTAAAACAGTATGTTTAAAGTGGACTACATAAATAGACTGTTTGATCATTAAAACCCTGGTCCAAGATTAAATTGTACAATTAATGTAATTTAGGGCCCTGCCACATGTTCAAATTACAGCTGGATAGAAATCAGCTATAAAGTTATTACCCATTTTCAAACACTAAGTCTGTAACTGATTGGCTCTTTTTATAGCTGTTTGAACGTTTTCATGGCATGATAATTACTTTGCACGTGTGGCCAGGCTAAATTTATTGCAGGTTGGACCAGTTAATTGTATAATATATGTAACGTGTGGCAGGGGCCTTATTTTCAGTATGTGCACAAAACTCAAAGAAAATTTTAACGACATTAATGATCCCAGAGCACTGTAGCACTGTAACCAGAATAATGAAGCTGGAAATATAAAACCATCAACCCTCTATTTCCTTAATGTATTTCAGCTAAAATTTGTGTCTTGAGCTAAAGGGATCACCTATGCTTAAAATTTGTTTTAAAAGAAAAACAAAAACAAAATTGTAGTACTTTAGCATAGCAGTTATTCCAAATGAGATTAAGCCATTGTCCTCATTCCTGTGAAATGTGTACAGAAACCACCAGTGAATAAGATACCCTCAGGATCAGCCCTCAAGATACAAAAAAGAATTTTGTACTACGAGAGGCCTGAAGTATTTCTTCTTACATAAGCACCATTGCTTAACACCACTTTGGGATACTGTTTAACTATGTTATTGCACTCTAGGCAAGAATGATTTGAAAGGCAGGTTCCATGTATTGTACAGAGACTCACTGAAGTAGCATTATGACATTTCATAATGTACAAAGCCATTTAGAAGCAGCTGTTGTTTCTCTCTTTCTGTACTCCTAAAATAAATATCTTGTTATTTAGTATTTTATCTGATAGAATCTCCAAATCCTTCACAATCCATGTAAAAAAGAAGCACTGATCAACTTCTGCTATGCTAGGGAGGGAGGACAGCAGACAGGTGAAAAATTAAGGTGACTACAGTACTCAGAAAAAAAGTCTATGGGGAAATTTCAGTCATGGAAAATGGTTAACTTTTACTGTCTCAAAAAGTTATGCGATCTATAATATCCATATTAATCAGTTTGTATCTTCCACAAACCACAAGATTTAGCATAGGTTGCTGTATGAGGGTCAGATGAGAAGCTGCCAGCCCAGAGACTGATCCTTACTGTAATTTTAATAAAATAGCCGTGGATCCAGTTTTTTACTCTTCTTTTCCTTTAATTAACTGAAAATCTCAATCCTAATGCTGGTGGCAACAAACAGCCTTTTTGAGTATATAAGTGGTATGGCAGTTAGATTTCTTTCTGTAACAATACCGTTTTTCAACTACCACATTTTACAAAATATGAAAAACAAAAACTCCATTTCCTTAGTAGCAAATTTATGAATGAATATGCTCATTGGTTTTATAAGAATATCACATGGCACTTCTGTGCACAGAAATAAATCAATGTCCAGTCAAGAGAAGGAGGGAAAAATTCTGCAACTGTGGAAATTGATTGTAAAATGGCAAAAGGTTAATTTAATACATTAAAAACAATCTTTATTGGAAAACAAAATATATACCCTAACCTTGCATGGCAGCTTTCTATCCCAACCAACTAGAGAAAGCAAACCCTAAAAACCTGAGATTTATGCAGACAGCTTGGGCAGTATTCTAACATCCCTCGTGCACCTAAATGGCAATTTTCCAGCCATATAAGTGGACTTATTGCTACTTATGAACACTGCACAATTA